CCCCTGCCCCCCGCCAGCCCCGCCCCAGCCCGCGGGGTGCACCATGCGCCAGGGTTACGGGCCCTGCGTAGGGCAGTGCGGCCCCGCAGAGGTTGCTGGGTGGACAGGTCTCCGCAGGCAAAGGGAACACCCATGGGGACCACAGGGGAAGGGACCTCCTCCCTCCTCCATCAGGGGCCCTGCGGGTGTAGGAGCTTGGTGACAGGCCGCAGGGCCCGGGGTCCTCTGGGGGAAAAGCTAATTCAAGGGTTTGCTGTTGGCCAGTTCCCAGCAGCAAGAGGCCAAGTCCTGTCCTTGTCCAGGCCGGCGGCCTCGCTCTGGGACATCCCTCGAGGGGAGAGAGAACCGGCCACAGGGAAGTGAGGCTGGGGCAGCAGAGGGTCTCAGAGCAGCCCCTGCCTCTCCCGTGCCCCCTCCCCCGGGGTCCCCACGGGTCCTTGATCTCAGCCAGGGTAGGGGGTCAGCTGAGGGGCCATCAGGACCTTGGCACTGAGGCAAGGGGTATGGAGGTGGGAGGGCAATGGTAGGGAGGGGAGAGACAAAGACAGACAAAGAGAGACAAAGAAAGAGACAGAGAGAGAGACAGAGAGACAGAGACAGACAGGGAGAGACAGGGAGGCAAAGCTGGAGCAGGAGAGAGAGTAGGAAAGGGAGACACAGAGACAGAGCGCACCGAATACACGCCTGGCACCCCTGGCCACCTCTGCGGGGCCGTGCCCCTGCCGAGAATCCTCGCTCCCTCCCCCCTTGCCCGGGCCCCAGCTGCTGCGAGGCCCTGGAGCCTCCACAGTCCGGCTCTGAGCCCCCTGCCTCGGACGCACCCCAGTGTCCTTACTGGCTCCTTTCCCTGTGGCCGGCCTGGCTCCCAGTGGGGGTCTCACCTGGCCCTGCAATTGGCACACAGCGGTCCTCTCCTGGGGGTTCAGTGAGCCAGGGCGGCCTCTGTGTCACAGGGTGACTGTGCTGACCCTCCCTCTCTGGACCTCACTTTCCCCAGGATATATGGAGGGAGCTGACCAGGCTTCTGGGCTGTTCTGGGGAAAGTGAGGAGGGGGCTCTGCTCCTGGACGGAGGTGAGGGGGTAGGGGGTGGGCTAGGCGGTCATCAGAGCTCTCAGGTGGGCGCACCTGTCCCTACACCCAAAGGAGGGAGGACTCAGAGCCCTGGCTTTAAAAACTGCCCCTCGGTCTGCTTCCTGCCCCCATGCCTCACTCCCCTCCCTGCAGTGGAAGCCAGACCACCCTCAGAGGTGCCCAGAGCTGACCTGGGATGAGCAGGGCCGCTCCTCGCCTGGGGAGCGGGTGGGCTGGGCTGAGGGGCTCTGGGCCTTCTCGCCTGCTGCCTGGTGCCTCTCAGACCAGCTGGGGCTGCTGCGCTCACCACCCGGGCTCTAAATTCCCCAGGGGCCCGGCGGGCTGGACCGTGGGCATCGGGCCAGTTCCCTGGAAGTGAGAGGAGTGAGCTCCCCGTTCCTGGGATGAGCTCAGATGGAGCTGCCCTCAGTGTGGGCAGGTCCTTCCCTTCCTCCTCAGCTGACCGCCCGCCCAGCTGGACCGCAGGCTCCACACCCGAGTGCCCCGCCCCGGTCCACGGGCTGGGTCACACCTTCCCGTGGCTGGGTCCACTGTGGTGGCACCTGCTCCGGCCCTTTAGCTTGTTGTGCAGGTAAGTGTGAGCCAGGGGCTGTGGCGTGGCCTGACCCTTCCTGGCTGTGTGGCCCTGAGAGAATGCCCTGACCTCTCTGGGCCTCAGTTTCCCCTCTGCTTGGACTGACTTTCCATGGACCGCTCAGCGCCTGGCTCGGGGCTGGACCCATGACGGCTCACCCACGGGCGGTCGGCAGACGTCGCCGCGCCCTTCAGAGAACCTCACCCCCCCTACTGTCTCCACTGGCCAACCTGCCTCACCTCCGGGTCCCGGTGTCCACGGGTCCTCTGGGGTTAAAATGCTTTTCCAAATATTGTCTGCAGAGCTCTGTACCCCAGGACATCCCCGATGAGGGGCTTCCCCTTTCCTGGGGGTACCTGGGGGCTGTGTTGTTTCTGGGTTGATCCCTGGCCCGGTTGGGGTGAGTGCAGGAGGCCACCAGTCGGTGTGTCTCTCCCCCTCCCTCCCTCCCTCCCTTTCACTCTCTCTAAAAATCAATGGAAATAATATCCTCGGGTGAGCATTAGCGACAAAAAAGAATTACAACAGTTTGCATGTCCTGCAGGTCCCGTGGCCACCCCTGCTGCGGGGCCCAGGCCCCGCCTGCTGCTCCACCTGCCCCAGGACCTTTGCTCAGCGTGCAGGGGGTGCCTCCTTTCCTCCAGGGTCGCCTCCACCTGCCCTGCCCTGCTGCTCCGGCCGCTCTGTCCCCACACTCGCCCTGTCTCCCACGCGCCCCGTGTTTTCTGGCCCCTCTCTCCTGAGACCCGGGCCTTGTGCACATGGAGCTCCCAGCGCAGCCTGGAAAGAGGCATCTACTCTCAGGTGTCGGTGACAGTGACAAGAGCAGACACCCGTGTGAAGTGTGTCAGGGGCGGAATGGGGCCCCCAGGCCATACCCAAGTCCAGTCCCTGGAGCCTGTGAGTGGGGTGGTGTTGAGAAAAAGGGTCTTTGCAGAGAAATTGAGGATCTGAGGTGAGGTCATCCTGGGATGCCCAGGTGGACCCTGAACCCAGTGACAAGTGTCCCCATAGAGAAAGGACAGGAGAGACTCAGGGAGGATACGTGATGATGGAGGCAGAGGTTGGGGGGATGTGGCCCCAACCCCAGGGAGGCTGGGAGCCCCAGGAGCTGGAAGAGGCAGGAAGGACCCTCCCCTAGAGCTTTGCAGGGAGCATGATTTCTGACTGTGGCCTCCAGAATGAGAGGCTACATGTCCGTGTCCTGAGCCACCCTGGCTGCGATCCCTTGTCACAGCCACCCCCAGACACGGGTACAGTGACCACGTGTGCATTTCATTCACCCTGAGCCGGCCACCTCTCACCCCACCTGCCGACGGGGAGACCGAAGCACAGGACACGGGACGGGCTTGTGGGAGGCTGTGTAGGCCTCAGCGGGCGGGGGGTCCGGCCAGGCCACAGAGGCACCTTCCTGAGCTCCTTCCACAGCTGGTGTCCCAGCTGCCAGCAAAGCTGGGTGACAGTGTCCCAGCCTGTCACAGGGAGGCTCCACCGCGGGGCGGGGCTGGTATCCTACCACTTTCACCACAAATGGGCAAGTTCACCCAGTTCCGACCTCAGCCCTGTGGCCTGGGCAGGTCTGCGTGCCTCTCGGGCCCTCTGAGTTTTCTGGTCTGCGGGCTGGGCCGTGGTCTGGTCACACCCCTGGTGTGTCACGGGGACCCAGTGAGGAGCACACGCTGGGAGGAACTGAGGAAATGTGAGCGGGATGGGCGGATCCAGGAGGTCCGGCCGCAAACCTCTCTGTTCCCCTAGTTTCCTTGGCCACCGTCCCATCCAAACCGCAGGACAAAATCGACTGACTCTGAGACCCAGAGTGGACACAGGAGGTTACCCAGGCCCCCCAGGGGCAGATGAGGAGCCCCGGCTCCCGGCAGTGGGGTGTCCTAGCGCCACGCCTGGCCCCACCTGTCTGCGGGGGGCTCTCTGGAGACAGGTGTCTCAATGCTCTTGTTTTTATCAGGATGGCACAGCGACCCACCGGGGACGATTGTCACTGAGGAGAGAGGGCTACTCACAGTTCTCTGGAGGAAGGGCACGCCGGGGACCAGCCGCAGGACCACCGCGGGGGCAGCGCAGAGGGAGCGGGGTGTGGGTAGGAGCAGGGCCTGTGGTTCTCGAGAGGATGGGCGGCGAGGCGGGCGAGCGGGCGTGGGGTTGGCTGGTGTGAACAATTTCAGGGGCGGGGGGCAGGGCTGTCCCTGGTCGCCTGGGACCTGCCCTGGTGATCAGGGCGGGAGATTGTGGCCTTGAGCTCAAGGAGGAACCGGATAGAGTAGCGGGCGCTGGGCAGTGGTTTTTAGTTGTAGGAATTGGTTCACCCTGGGGGGCAGCCCCGCCAGGCCAGCGCCCAGAGCTCAGGGCGTCGGGGGACAGGAAATACAGGACGGTCCGTAAGGCAGGTGCCCTGAACTGAGGGGCAGAAGGACGGGGTTTGGGGCTGCGGTGGTCCCTCTGCCACCTCCCAACCCCCGCTCCCCGCTCCCAGGGGGGTCGTGCTCGGCCCCTGCCTCCGGGCTGCCTGCCGCCTCCTCCCGGCCGCGGGGCACAGGGGCCTGGCCTGGGCTCTCGGGCTCCTGAAGCCTCCGTTCCCCACGTGTGAGGTTTACTGGATGTCACACGTGTCCCGTGCTCGATGCCGTGCCTGGCGCACAGGAAAGCCCGGGCCTGTGTTGGTTTTCATTCCTGTTGTAGCTGCAGTGGCCGTGATGGGAGTTTTATTCAGTTTTTCTATAAAAATACCCCTTTCCCGCCCTGGCCGGTGTGCAGCTCAGTGGTTAGAGCGTCAGCCTGTGGACTGAAGGGTCCCGGGTTCGACTGTGGCCAAGGGCACCTACCTCGGTTGCAGGCTCGATCCCCGGGGCACGTGCTGGAGGCAGCCCATTGATGTGTGTGTCTCACATCGATGTTTCTCTCTCTCCCCCTCCCACTCCCTCTGAAAAGCAAAGGGAAGAATATCCTCGGGTGAGGGTTGAAACAAACACACCTCTTTCCTAAAGTGACGGAGCTCGGCTGCTAAGGAGCACACGTGGCAGGTGGTGGGCACAGCCTGCCCGGCAGCCCCGTGGCCCCTCCACGCAGGGACCGGCCCCTCCCAGCCCCCGGCCCCCGGATGAAGGTCCCGGGTTCAGGAAGAATCAGGCAAAGTCCCGAGAAGCGGGTAACACTCAAGTAGATGTGATGCTTTAGGTCGAATAGTTTTGTTGTGTTTCTCCAGCTTCGGAGATGATTCAACAGCTGAGGAGGGAGCTTGGTTTCACCCAGGGACTCGGGGGGGTTAAGCAAGACCGTGCAGGAGGAGCGAGCGGAGCCCAGGGGCGCCCGCAGACTTGCTCCCTCCGCCTCGTGGGCGAGGCCAGGCCGGGCGGGCACCCTGGGCTCCCCGCCGGCGCCCTGACCCCTCCACCCCCCGGGCGGCCCGGCCTGGTCTGGGACAGACCCAGGTCGGCGCCCCGGGGTTGCGGAAAGAGCTTGTTTGTGGCTCCGTTGCTCAAGGCCCGTCTGCCTCGCTTCCTGCAGCTGATAAGAGCAAAGCCCGTGGGGGCAGCGAGGCCTCCCCAGGGGCAGAGACGCAGCTCGGGGCTCCCGGTGAGGCCCCTGCAGGCCCGGCCGTGCCTGAGCCTCACTGCGGCTCCTGACGGAACGCGGGGCCCTGGGGCACTGAAAGGGTCTCGGGTTCGATTCCCGGACAAGGGCAGGTACCTGGGTTGCAGGTTAGATCCCCAGCTCTGTTCGGGGATGTGTGGGAGGCAATCGATGTGCTTCTCTCACATCGATGTTTCTCTCTCTCTCTCTCTCTCCCTGTGTCTCCCCGTCTCCCATTCTCTCTAAATAATCAATGGGAAAAAAATATCCTCTGGTGAGGTTTTAACAAAACAAACAAACAAAACAAAAACCCTGCGCAGCACACGCCTCCCGCAGTGTCCGCCTTCCCGAGGCCCTGGGCTGCGTCTCTGTCCCACACCTGTCCTCACGTCACGCCTGTCCTCACCGATCAGACTCCCGGGGACAGCGTATCGCTGGGGCTCTCGGTCACTGTGACGCCAACACCACCGGCTCCCACCTGGGTTCCTCCCACAACCTGTCCCCGAGGGTGACACCTGGGAACAGCACTGCGGGCTCGCTGGCACGGGTGACCAGGCCTCCTCCGTTCCTCGGCCCATCCCAGCCCCCCCTCAAGTCTCGTGGCACAAAAGAGGTCCCTCCCCGGGGGCCCAGGACTGTGGCGTGTCCTGGCCTCCGGGCGCTGGGTGGTCGTGCTCCGCCCGGGGAAGGCTGGGGTTTCTCGCAGCCGAGATCGGGGGACTCCCTCCTGCCGGCCGCGGTCCCTCCCACGCGTGCGTGACTGGCTGTCTTCCGCTCCTGCCGCGAGCCCCTCTGGACGCGGCCTCCCTGTGGAAGGAAACAGGGGGCTCCTTGCTTCCCCTTTGTGGTCACGGAATCGTGAGACGGAGGAGCTGGTCCCGGTTAGATCTGATTTATAGCAGAAGAGTGTTCTGGGAAAGCCTGATTCATTGGCTCCGCTTTCGTGGAAGGGCGAGGGATACAGATGACGGGCATCGGTCATTCAAAGAATAAATGTTTTTATAGATCTCAGAGAGAGGCAGGGAGAGGGGGAGGGAGAGGGAAACATCAGTGATGAGAGTCATTGATCGGCCGCCTCCTGTGCGCCCCCCGCTGGGGATCGAGCCCGCAACCCGGGCCTGTGCCCTGACCCGGAATCGAACCCCGATCTCCTGGATCCCAGGCCGATGCTCAGCCGCTGAGCCACGCCGGCCGGGCCGTGGTCGATGTTTTTCTCTTCTATTATTTATCCATCACAGGGAACCGAAGGCAGCTGTTCCCCGATGCTCCAAGGCGAGGCGTGCTCTGGGTAGAAGGCACCTATGGGTGCCCCGTGGGAGTCTGGCTACTTCTTTCCAGAGAGAAAAAGCCCTTCCTGGGATGCTTGGGGAATCCCGAGGGGCTGCGGCGTAAAGAGGAAGCAGGAAACCAGAGTGGGTGCCCCCGGGAGGTTGGCCGCCGCCCGGGCGACCCACCGAGACGGACGCGCCTCTCCCCCAGCCCGAAGTCACGGTGCCGGCCGGGCCGCGCGCCCTCCAGGGGCCCCCGCGGAGGGTCCCTGCTTGTTTCTCCAGCTCCTGGTGGTTTCTGGTCACCTCCAGAGAACCTGGGCTGGTGGCCACATCCCTCCTTCCCCACGTCCGTCCTCACACGGCTCTCTGTCCGGTGTCTGTCTCCTGTCTCTTAGAAGGACACCCGTGGTTGGACCTGGAGGGCACCCAGGTAATTTGAGATGACCGCATCTTGAGATCCTTAACTTAATTACATCTACAAAGACCTTCTTGCCAAATGAGGTCACAGACACGGGGCTTGGGACGTGCACACGTCCCCCGAGGCCCCCTGTTCAGTCCTCTGCAGGGGCCGGGACCCTCCAACCCCTTCCAGCCGGTGACCTCAGACTGGGAGGGACCTTCAAGATCCTCAGTCCCTGCCCGGGGGCCTGGCAGGAGGGAGGCTGGGTCTTCGGCTCGGACGTGTGTGGGCCCCGGGGAGGACACTCAGGGCTGGTTTGGAACGACAGGGAGGCAGGGTCGTGGCTGAGGCGAGGCGTGGGCTGCTGTGCCCAGTGAGAGGGGCTCGCGGAGCCCAGGGCCAGGACCCTGCCTGAGCAGCCAACTGGCTCCTGGGCTTTCGCCTCCATTCCTGGGGCCAGGGTGACACCGAGAAAGGGCCAAGTAAGGGAAAGAAAGGCCCCAGGGGTAATGCCTGAGACCCACTGGCCTATGGCTAGTTTATTACCCTTATCGATTAATATCAATATTATAATAATGTTAATTAATGTTACCAACATTAATCAATAGCATTATATTAATTATACTTGTAGTTAATTAGTACTTAACTTGTAGTTTAAAATATTTTATTTTAAAATATTGTAATTATTTAAAATATTTTAAATTATATTTTAATTAAATATTTTAATTAAAATATTGTAATTTTTAAAAATATTTTAAAAATTTCTAAAATGTTAAATATAATTAATATATTGCTTGTTTATGGTTATGTAGTCATTATTAATTATAACCTTATATTATTTTTAATATAATTATTTAAAAGTTATATAAATTCAACTTATGATTTATTATGATAATCTCATATTAATGATTAGCGTTATCTGTTTATTACAGGGGCCTTCGCTGTAATAGATTAATATAAAGACTTGTGGCCGCCTGGATGTGGTTTGTCACTTTGGCGCCAGGGCACACACAGAGGCTCACTGGGGCGGGCACCTGGCCTGGGACAGCCGCCCGCAGGCTGAGGTGGGCGTCTGGGCAGCTCCCCCTGCGCCGATGTGGGGCCCAGGGAACCGCACTCAATGGCTGGGAGACGCGGGTGCCGCGAGGGGCCCGGGACACAGGCAGGCTCGAGGGGGCTCGAGGTCTGCTCCCTTGGTTACTCCACTTCAAACTGGACGTGCGAAAACGGGACTCTGCCGCCGGCAGGGGTCTGAGCTCGCGGGTCCAGCACGCAGAGGCCACCTCTGACTCGTGCATGTGACACGCGGCCGGGAGGAGAGAGGGTCCAGCTTCCACAATTCAAGTTTTTCGGCAAAACGCAGGCGGCCGTCACCGGGAACGGTGTCGAGCTCCTGACGGGAAGGTCCCTGTCCCAGGCAGAGGGCCACAGACTGCGGCAGGGCCCCAGGGGCCGCAGGGCGATGGGCAGCTCTGCACCCGGTGAGACCGGCCCTCGGAGGTCCCTGGGGGGCGTCGGCGCGGGTCCCGGGCCGTCCCACGGAGCCCTCCCCTGGCCTCGTCCTATTCCTGGTTCTCCCTTGAGAATCATTTGTATTTTCAAACACAGGACTTTCCCCTTTCGCAGTTTTCCTGGTCTTGTGTGATGACAGTGGCTTGTTCGCTGTTCCGTGTTTGCTCCGTGTTTGTGCACCGCCTGCTTTCCCCAGCGCTGGTCGTGTCACGACAGGCACACGGAACGTGCGTTTTATTGTTTATTTTAAATATTTTGTTACTCATCACGCGAGGATATTTTTTCCCATTGATTTTTAGAGACAGTGGAAGGGAGGGGGTGGGGGAGAGAGGGGAAGAGAGAGAAACATCCATGTGAGAGACACATCAATGGGCTGCCCCCTGACCAGGGGCAGGGATCGGACCTGCAACCCAGGTATATGCCTTTGACTGGGAATCGAACCCGCAACCCTCCAGCGCTCGGGCGGCGCTCTAACCACGGAGCCACGCTGGCCGGGGCTGAGGGTGCATTTTCCCTGCTGGGGGGTGTCAGGAGGCCGGGGAGGGTGGAGGCGCTGGCCCCGAGCACCACGGCTTGAAGCCTCGCTGGTGGCAACGGGACAGAGGAAATCTACATCCCTGCAGGTTCAGGTCCCCAGACAGACAATGACGATGACGGGAAACAAACGAGGGAGAGGAGGCAGTTTAGAGAACAGGGGACAGCGGGAGTCAGGAGGAGGGCAGAGGAAGGGAAGGAGACAGAGACTGCCGGGGAGTCTTCCTGCACCCCTCCCCGCCCGTCCTGGGGACACGCAGGAGCACATGGACAGAGAGGCGGGGAGAGCGCTCCCCTCGAGAGTTAAAAGTCACCTTCTCTTTATTTAAGGAACTAGACTTAAAAGATCCCTTTCCCTTGAACCGTGAAACAAGCCTTGTTGGTGGTCCCCTTGCCGGGGGGCAGGGAGAGGCTGAGCTCCGCTCGAGGCCACCAGCGAGGCCGATGTTCCAGGCGGGGTCCTGGCAGGCGGGGCGCCCTCCACGCAGGGCCAGGCCTCAGTCCACGCCGTCCAGGTCCTGCCGCTCCCTCCTCTCCAGCTGCAGAACCTAGGAGGAGGCGCCGGGTGAGAAGGTGGCGTCCCCAGGCCGCCTTGAACGACCGCGCTGTTGAAATTCGAGAGTCACACCAGAGGAGGGTCGCAGCCTTGGATCCGGGAAACCAAGTTATCGCTCGGTATCGACCACGTGCGAATGTGGCTGGACACAGACACGTATCCGCACGGCGGGCCCCGCACTCGAGGGACGGCGGGGCTGCAGGTCCCTCTGTCTCTGCCTCTGTGGCTTCTCGGGTTTCTACATCTGCCCATCTTCTGGATGCGCGGCCTCCGGACCCCATTCCTGATCTGGGGGAACCACTGCTGGGCGCGTCGAGGTGGGGACCAAACCCTGCCTCTCGCCAACTCCATGTGGGGCTGGGGCGTCCTGTGCACTGCAGGACCCTGGGCTCAGCCCACGAGGGGCTGGCGGCTCAGACCCTCCCCCCGAAAGCGTCCCCTGGACATTGCCTGATGTCCCCTGGGGGCCACACACCCTCCTGAGAACCACGGCCACAGGCCACAGAGCACAGTGTGACCTGGCTCCAGCCCCAGTTACCCCTCAGCCCTCAGAGAAGCCTCCGGGTCACCAGGCATAAAGTGGGGGCTCCCCAGCCCCGTATTCTCTAGCTCGGTGGGGCGCTCAGCACAGCTCATGTCCGACGCAGCCCGAGCTCACTACTAGCTGTCGTTTTCCTCCCACCAGATGATCACATGTGCTCGAGGGTCTAACCGCTGTCTGTCGTGGGAAAGGGAAGGAGGGGAGGCCTATGCCTTTTTTTTTTTACTTTTTTTTGTTAATCTTCGCCCCAAGATATTTTTCAGTTGATTTTTAGAGAGCGTGGAAGGAAGGGAGGGAGGGAGGAAGGGAGGGGGGGAGAGAGAGAAACACTGATGTGAGAGACACTTCAATCGGTTGCCTCCTGCATGTGCCCCGACTGGGGGTCAACCTGCGGCCCAGGTCTGTGCCCTTGACGGGGAATCGAACCTGAGACCCTGTGGCGGGCGGGCCGATGCTCTAACCACCGTGACGCCGGCCAGGGCTACACCTGCTTTTATTTATTTACTTACTTTAATATATTTTATTGGTTTCAGAGAGGAAGGGAGAGGGAGAGAGAGAGAGAAACATCCGTGATGAGAGAGTCATTGCCCGGCTGCCTCCTACAGGCCCCCAACTGGGGATCGAGCCCGAAATCCGGGCCTGTGTCCTGACCGGGAATCGAACCCTGATCTCCTAGATCCTAGGTCGACACTCAATCACTGAGCCACACCGGCCGGGCTGTACCTACTTTTAAGATCGACTTTACTAACCCTCCCTTGAGTCTATTATTAATTAATTAGAAAAAGGGACACAGGGTGGCGTAGAGCCTGTGAAGCCATCTGCCTGTGCCAGCTGTCCAGCAGTGACCACGACTGGCCCCATATTCAGACCGAGAGGGACAGCTGCTCATCTTGGGGTAGGTGACCCCAGTGAATACGGCACAGCCTGGAACAGCACACGCCAAACTCTGACGTCAGACCTGCCGATCCCTCTGCAGAAGGAAGGGCGATAACAATGCCGCCGTGCCCACAGAAAGCGTTCCAGCCCCCGACGGCCACGAGCTGGGGCTGCTCGCCGGGCGCCGGGCGGCCTCGCCTGCCCCGTACCTGGTTCTCTATGCACCGGAACTGCCACGGCCAGCCCACGTGGTAGAGGAACGGCCGCAGGTCGAACCTGTTGTCGTCGGGGCTGTAGCTCTCGGCGTGGTAGGCGGGCGTGAGTGTGGTCATCTTGTGTCTGTTCATGGAGTACTTGGAGAAGAACCGCTTCACCTTGTCGGCCACCTGGTGGGCGAGCGGGCACCAGGCTTTGAGACAGAGGCCGGGGCCCTGGCCCGAGTCTCCCTGGGCGGCGCCAGCTGGCGGGTCCCTGCTGCATCGGAACGTGCCCGGAGGCGGGCGGGGACAAACGCCGGAACTCGGGCCGGGCGGCGGGCTGAGCTAGAGCCACGTGGGTTCTGAGCGCAGCGCCTGGGAGGCCTGAGCCGGGGTCCCGGGAAGATCCACCTCCCCAGGCTCCCCAGGTTCTGCGGGGACCAGGTCCTCAGGCTGCGGCCCTGGCAAGCCTGACACAGCAGACAGAGGTGACGGTCTGACCTCCGTGTCCACACTCTGACCCCACAGGAAGGGCGCGGGAGCGTGCTGTGAGCCCCGAGCCCATGAGCGTGCCCTGGAGAGGGGAGGCTGAGCTTGGGCCGTGGGGTACCTGTCGAGGGCTGCAGGTGTCTCGCCACATGTGCAGGAGCTTGCAGAACATGCTGTAGGGCCCGGCCTTGGCGACCTTCCGGAGCCTCCCGAAGACCGAGAGCTCTGCGTACGTCATCCCCATGTCCTCCTGCGGGATGAAGGGTGACAGCCAGTCAGCGCCCGAGGAGCTCACAGCTTCCCGTGGAGACGGGAGCCGGGGCGCAGGGCGGGGAGGTATCCCCAAGGGCCCCAGGCGGATGCCAGGCCCTGTCCCCCACGCTGACCACCCGAGAAGGAGGCAGGTTTCAAAAAGGACCTGCCCCAGCCAGGTGCTCAGCTGGCTGCAGTGACGTCTCCATACGCCGAGGTTTCGGGTTGGATCCCCGGTCACGGCACATGCGGGAGTCAACCAGTGAATGCACAGCTGAGCGGAACAACAAATTGATGTTTCCCTCTCTCTCTCCCCTTCTCAAATCAATTAAAAAAACCCCACAAAAGTAAAAAAAAACACCCACATGTCATGAATCAGACGTTTGGCTCTGAGGACTGAGATGGGCCAAACGGCGGCCCCTCAAAAAGTATGTCCGTTCCCTAAGCCCCAGAACCCCCAGATTGCGACTTCATTTGGAAAAAGGGTCTTTGCAGATGTAGTTGAGGATCTCGAGATAAGATGAGCCTGGATTTGAGATGGGCCCTAAATCCAGTGACCGGTGTCCTTAGAAGGGACAGGAGGGGAGAAGCCGAGCGGAGGCCGTGGGAAGACGAAGGGAGAGGCCGGGCGACGTGGCCACAGCCCAGGGCCGCCTGGGGCCCCAGGAGCGGGAGGAGGCAGGAAGGGCCCTCGCCCAGAATCTCCGGGGACGCGAGGCCCTGCCGACGCCTGGACCTCGGACTCCGGCGCGTGGACAGACAGCGAGCGAGTGAAGTTCCGTTGTCTAAGCCGCCCAGTCGGGGTGTCTCGTTAGAGCAGCCGCAGGCACCCCGATACAAGGACCAACCTCAGGCCCTGTGCCTGCCCCCGCTGGGCCCCTGCCTTTCTTAAGGACAGAGGACAGAGAAAAGGGAGCGGGCCGCGGAAATCGGGGCCACGCGAGAGGCCACGGGATGCCTCACGCCTACTCAAGGCTCGGCTTCAGGCCGAGGCTTCCGTGAGCCACACGCCTTTTTCAGCGCTGGCTCCAACTCCCTCTCATTTCCTGCCTCCAGCCCCCCCCAAAATGGACAGGGTTACAAATTAGTGACATAGAGACATTTTAGAAACTTACAAAATAAAAATAAATGGGAAAAAACCAAAAACCCTCACTCCTAGATAACTGATGGGTCAAAGAAGAAATCCCAGGAAAGTCAGAAAAACGTTGTGAGATGAACAGATAAGAGGACCCAGCGCCGCAAAGCTGCCCGGCTGCCCGGCAGCGGGGCTGAGGGGGAGATTGTCGCCGTAAACGCCTGTATTTAAAAGGGGAGCCACCTCAAATCGTCAGCTAACCTCCCTCAACCCTTTTTGTTAATTTATTTGTTATTTTTCAATCCTCGCCTGAGGATGTTTTTCATTGATTCATAAAGGGGGGCGGGGGAGACAGAGAAATGTCGATGTGAGAGAGAAACATCACATCGGCTGCCTCCCCTATTCGCCCCAACTGGGGGTCGAACCCACAACCTATATATGAGCCCTGACCAGGAGCTGAACCCGCAACCCTCTGGTGCACAGGACGATGCCCGACCAGCCGGGCCACGCGGCCAGGGCCAACCTCCCGCCTTCCGACACCAACACGTGGAAGGAAGGAAGGAATAGGTCGGGGGGGGGGACTCGGTGGGAAAATCAACTGTGTTTCCAGCCACTGGCAACAAACCCCCGCAACATGAAATTCAGAAAACAATTCCATTTGCAATAGCTCCAAAAAGAACCCATCACTGAACACGTGAACTGAAGGAAACACACGCACACGCAGACCCTGGACAGACAGCAGCGAAGGTCCAACTAAACGGGAAGGCACCCCCGGTTCACGGGTCAGGAGGCAACACTGCGGGGATGGCGACTCCCCGACTCCCCCGGCTGACCGACAGAGCCAAGGCCACCGCTACGCAAAATCCACACTGGGTGTCCCTCCTGCGGCAGAAACTGACAAGCTGATCTCACAATCCCACGGAAATCCAAGGGACCCAGGGTTTCCAACGTTACCCTGAGAAAGAGCGAAGGTGGAGAGATCGCACGTCCCCATCTCCAAACTCACTACACCTTGTGCCACCCCCTCCTCGGGGCCCCAACCTCCAGACGGCCGCCGCGGCGTCCGAGTGTCAAAGGCCAGCAGTGGACGGACGCCTTGCCCAGGCTCCCAGGCCAGAGACGCAGCGCAGGGGCGCGGTTCCCGGGGCAGACAGGCGGCCACGCAGGAGCCCGGCACAGACGCGCCGGGAGCGGGGAGACTGGGCGGAGGCACGGGGACAAGGCCACCCCCATTACCTCGTCGGTCTGGGACACCTGTCCGTTGGTCAAGGGCTCGAGCTCAGCGGTGGCCGGTGCGGCCAGGATGCTGCGGACAAGAGACACAGAGAAGTCACGGCGGCTCGACATTAAGTCAACAGAGGCTGCCAGCCCCGGGCCACCTACTCAGCACTGGGGGGGGCGCGGGGTGGGACTCCCAGCCTTACGATCGTGG